TCTTAGTTCTTACTTCGTAAGTGGACAAATATTTAAAATTCATAATACTGAAAACATTAACAAAACCATAAAACGCTGCATCATACCTGAACGGAAGTGATATATTCCGGCCTATATCGTTACAAACAATAAACATTAATGTCGAGATATTATTTTAATCGTATATACTATCCAATTAACATTTCGATTCTTTGCTTAACTAAACATCCGCAGTGTATTATATGCTCTTCATCGTAACATCTGCCCGTGCCGTTGCGTCGCTATGAATGCATCACAAAAACGTATTGTTAAGATAGCTATATAATTGATTTTGTATAGCGCACGTTGTATGCAGAAGTTCGCGTTTGTGAAGGACATCCACTTTTATATCCCATTCACTGTATCTAATCACCTTACAGCAATTCAGACAAGAAATATTAATAATGCACTGCATGCTTGGAAACATTTTTGGTAAAACGATTACTAAATAATTATGTTCATTCATATTATTATGTTTCTGCCGTATCTATGATTGTCAATAGCATTTATAGAGGCTACATACATCCACAGTTCGTTTTACCGAGATCTGCTAACAAGGTTGCAGCTTATCTGGCTTATCATGCTTTTATTTTTACTTTTCTCTCCGCGCCATTTTTGTGCAAATATATCTTATGGAATATGTCAAAATAAAGCAAACGTGCAGAATATCTGTCCATATCCATTTCATGTGATCACATCTCTTTCTCGTCTTCTGTCTATCCCAGTAATTCGATCTCAGGATCCACTCACAAGTAACCTGAGGTGCACATCCATTACCCAACAAAAGCAACAAAAATTTGAATGTTTCTCCATCAGACAAAGGCTTCTTCCAGGAGACCCTTTTCACTTCATTTGGCCAATCCTTAACCTGATAGAAAGCATCTCCGTCCAATAGCAATAGCAATTGATGTCTTTTCGCACATATTTCTTTTTTCGAACACGGCAAAACAAAACTTTCAAAATCGCGCAGTTCTATATTGCTTTCCTGCATACTTCATATACGAGAAGCGAAAATTCAGAGTCTTCTGGGTTGTCATTAACTTAAAAGAGGATATTCAGGTTTCCCGCAACTTATTTAATACCTATCCCCTAGCACAAAGACTAATTGAATTAACATGAAAAATAGCGACTGGATAGACCTTAAGTTTTAACCTATATAGTGCATGCAGTTGAGTGTTATATATAGTTAATTTCAAAATTATTTTATCCTATATACACAGCCATTTGCTATGTTCCGCCATTTTTCGCACATTTTGTTGAATCGCAATAGCCGCTGTTAACCTGAAACTTTCAAACGTACAACTATTATCTTCCTATTTCCTATAACATATAACCCAGTAGCAGTTATACCACAATTGATACCTTTCTATATATTTAATACTATGGTTCGAATGTTTTTTATTCACTTCATTTCTACTCTCACACACAGGCACCGCACTTATACGGCTTTTTCATTATGTTATACTCTTCACCAGCAAGCCTAACGCTAACAGAATTTATTCTTGCTGAATTTTAGCTTGCATCACGTCTTTTATCCATCGAGAGATAGACTCCTTAGACACTTTTTTGTGCGGTCTAATGAAACTGATAAATAATTGTTTCTCATTGCCACGTATGGTTGCCGTTTGTTTGATTTATTCGCCAAAAACGGTAGCTACACACAGTGATTCATCGGATGGGAACTTTGGAATAGTCAAGACAGGTTGAACTTTGCCAGGTGCCGACTGTTAAACAAGTTGCTGAATATGAAAATTGTATGAATTATGCTCTACAGGGTGTATAAAAAAAAAGTAGACAATTTTGAAATGTTAAGAAAAGTATAAATTTATCAAAATATCTCATAGATTTATGCTAGTATGGGTACTTTACCATCTTCAGGTCATTCTAACACTAAAAACAAACAGAAAAATTAACCTCGAAAAATGGAAGAGCAGTTTGTGGAAGCATCATTTTGAATGGCTTGTGCAAACATGAATGAGAAGTTTAAAATCCAATTTGAATTCAAGGGCTGAACGTTTGGGTAATTGTTTACAAAGAATCGAAATTTCAGAAATTTTGATGAAAATTAAGACAGCCGCGCAACTGCGTAAACGTGGGCTTTTTTCTGTTTAACTCGTAGCTTGAGTAACTTTTTTCATGCACGAATGATTTCATGCATGAGTGATTGCTCAGGTGATTAAGCTAACAATGGTGTTGTAAAAAATTAATTTCATTTAGAAGTTCGCATAAATAAAGCTGTGAGTTAAACGGAAAAAAGCCCACGTTTACGCAGTTGCGCGGCTGACTTAATTTTCATCAAAATTTCTGAAATTTCGATTCTTTGTAAACAAATACCAAAACATTCAGCCCTTGAATTCAAATTGGATTTTTAACCTCTCATTCATGTTTGCACAAGCCATTCAAAATGATGCTTCCACAAACCGCTCTTCCATTTTTCGAGGTTAATTTTTCTGTTTGTTTTTAGTGTTAGAATGACCTGAAGATGCCAAAGTACCCATACTAGCACAAATCTATGAGATATTTTGATAAATTTATAGTTTTCTAAACATTTCAAAATTGTCTGTTTTTTTTTGATACACCCTGTATATTCATAGTTTCAAGGTTCATAAGATGTAATGACTGGCAACGTTGTCCCATAACCAGAGCACATAACATAACAAGTTTATGAGTCAGTTGCTGTAATGTTAGCTCTGCAGCAGGAGGGAGCCCTTTAAGGTACAGCAGTACAACCGAGGTATCCCAGGTTGATGTGTATCTTGGAACTGCAGGTCTGGTTTGGAAAACTCCTTTCATGAACCGTTGTACAAGTGGGTGTGTACCAATAGTCGAATTACTGTCTAAAATAATGAACAATGACAAAGCACTCCGGGCTGTGTTTAAAGCACTGTAACTGAGTCCCTTGTCATAGAGGTCTTGAAGAAAATCGAGTACTTGACTTACAGCAAGATGAAAGGGATCAATTTTCCACTTACTAGTATAGAGTTCCCATTTTGAGAGATATTGTTTTTGTGTGAACTGCTTCTGAAATTCCTTGACATGAGAGAGATTTCCTGACAATAGACAAGCCATCAACTGAAGTTTGCTTCCCATTGGATGTTGCTTCTCCGGATTGTGTGGTAGATGTACATTGCTTTGGTTCCTGGGCAATAAAAGTGGGCAGTGAATTAATAATCTGGTTAATGCAAGGAACCATGTTTAAGTTTGCCAGTTGGGTACAATTAATATTGCGCGTGCTTGTGTTAATTCTAATCGCCTGAGCACTTGTGAAATTAGACTAAATGGTGGAAAAGCATAAATAGTGTGGTTCCTCCAGTCCACTGTAAAAGCATCTATCTGCCAAGCATCTGGATCAGGATGCCAAGAAACGTATGAGGTAAACTGAAAATTGACCCGTGAGGCAAACATTTTAATGTCCGGCTTGCCTAAAAACCTGACAATTTTGTGAAAAACATCAACATTAAGTTTCCACTCCTTTGAATCATCAAAGATTTGTGAAGCCTTGTCGGCTTTGATATTATGCTTGCCTGGGATGTGACTCACAGTGAGCCAGATATTCCTGTCAAGACACCACTGCCATATATTCTGAGCAACACCATTGCAAGGAATTGAATGAGAACCCCCATGTTGCGAATATAGGCAACAGCAGTAGTGTTATCTGTCATAACTTGAATGTGGCTATTTGTAAGGCTTTTACAGAGTGATTGCAAGCCTAACAAAATCCCTTTAAGCTGAAGGTAATTGATGTGATGACTTGCTTCAGTCACTAACCACTGTCCCCCTGTTGTGTCAATACTGTTACTTGCCCCCCACCCTTTTTGGGACGCATCAGTGTATATGACAACGTCAACTTTGCCATGATCAATTTTCTTCTTTGACCTAAGAGCATTGCTGATCCACCAGTTTGCATCAGCTTGTGCCCCAGCTGAAATTTTTATAGGCATGTCAAAATTACCCTTTTGACATCTAAGAGCAGCTATTTTCTCAATTTCCAGTTGGCCATACTCAACCCCAGGGAAACAAGCCACCATCATCCCTATGATCTGAGCAACTGTTTTAATGCTAGGCATGTCTTGTTTTAGAACCAATAGAATAGCATTGCATAGTTTTTGGTGTTTCTCAGGCGAGATGGACACTGTCATCTCAACTGAATTCAAGACAAACCCCAAATGTTCAATGATTTGTGTAGGGGTTGTAATAGATTTGGTATCATGTGGCATAAAGCCTAAACTTTGAAATGTATGCAGAGTGTCAACTACATTAAGCTGGCATTCACAAACGGTTCGGCCCATTAACAGTGACTCATCAATATAACCACTTGAAATATAGCCTTTACGTCTAAGATATGAGAACACTGGTTTTAAAAGCTTTGTAAAAAGCCGTGGTGCAGAGGATAGTCCTTGTGCCAAGCAAGTAAATTGGTACAATACCCCTTGCCATTGGAATTTTAAATATTTTTGATGACTCTCAGCAATTGGTACAGAGAAATAAGTGTCCTTGAGATCAATGGACGCCATATAGCAATTGGGTTGCATAAGTTCAATGCAAGTGTAAATAGAATCCATTTTAAAATGCTCATAGGCAACGAATTTGTTGAGTTCTTTAAGGTTTAGTATCATGTGAAAAGACCCATCCTTCTTGGGTCGTAAAAATATAATTGTCTTCAGGAAAACTCTTTTTAATAATTCCTTTATCCAAAAATTGAGAAACTTATCAATTGAGAAACAATAATATCAATAGTTTCTAAGGAAAATTGGTGCGGTTGAGTTACAATAAATTGGACAGGTTGTACGAGGAACTTGATGTTGTATCCAGTTACAGCGGACAAAATAGTTGGGTCTGATGTAAGTTCCTTCCATTTCCCAATGAAAGAACATATGCGACCTGCTATATGACCTGTCATCTCAGATCTCTGAATATTGTTAATCAATTGGACATTCCAGTTATTACTTACATTGTAGCTCACAGCCTTCCCTTCTGTTTCACTAATTTTGCTCGTTTGTTTCCTGATGGATATTGTGGGCGCTGGAACTTCCTTCGGGGGCGGTCCTGCGGCCCCGGGGAGGGAATAAAAAATGTTGCCTAGAGGATGAGGAGCCTCTACTATGCGATTCCTCCCATTTCCGTTTCTGGCCTGTTAATTGCTGGGCAGCCTTTTTGCTTTCTTTGACAGTTTTAAGGTGTTCAGCCAGATCATCCCCAAACAATTCCAGCCCAGCAGGCTGTTTGTTGCTACAAATAGCCTTATAATCTGCATCAAGATCGGCTTTAAACAAGCTCTCCCAGAGATCTTCTGGAGGTATTGCAATTGTACTGCCAGGAGTTTTACCTAAAGAGTCCCCAACCAGCCCTGCAATCTGGGCAATTGGTGTGAGGCCCTTCACTAAGGCTTTCTGAAGCTTTTGCAATCGAGCATCCATACTATGTGTGGATTTTTGGGCAACATCCCATATTTTGGAGTTCACCTTAGTGACACGTAAGAGGTTGCAGTTTGCTGGCCGGTGGATTTTCTCTTTACGTTTGTTAAGAGCTGATTCATTTAGCCCAGAAGCCAGAATGCTCTCCAAAACAGAAGCCATCTTATCAGGAATACCAGTTGCTGTTGGCTCATTTTTGGTAACCTCTTGAACGAGGTCATCGACCTCATTGGGTTCCAAAAAGACAGCTGCATTATTGACAGTGTTGTCATTTGTGGTCGCATTTTGATCGGGCAAATTTTCATCAAGTTCACCCTCAGAGAGCTCTGTGTCATCCTGCTGCTGGGCAGCATCATATGCAGTTTTGAGCTCTTCGATAACAGGAGCAAAGCTACTGACAATGTCGGCCAACAAGGGCAGATTTCGTTCTAAGCCAATCAGCGCATTTGTTGACATTTTTGCTCTCCGCCAATCAGAATGCTTGAAAATAAAAATTGTAAACAAAAGGAGCGAGAAAATATTGCCGTATTCTAAGGCATCCTTGAGCCAGAATATTTACTTTTTATATTCGAAACCGAAAGAATGCAATAAAACATAAATATATCTTGAATTTTGCCGTGGGGTTTTTTAAATTTTTACATTTAAATTTTTCAAAAATTTAAATTTTTAAATTTTTGAATTACTGCAATGATCGCGCTCTATGGCTGCAACATATCGTTAAACCCGATAAATTATTTGGGGAATAATGTCGGTTTCTTCTCAGGATTCTCCTTTCCGTCTCATGTTTTCATTTCAGTTCTGGATAATGCTACTTGGAATGAGTTGGATCTTTGGGACAATGAAAACACCATGATATAAATAATAACCATTGTTCGGAGCTTGCTAAGATGTTTTAATACGCTCAGTGGACATTCTGTCAGAATATATGGCATTGTTTATGCAATAGTAGAGATTCTCAGCACCAGCATCCCTGCATATCACCTCAAAGGCATTGGGATCCACTTCTGGTTGGGAAAAATTACCAATGTGAGACTTGCTTTTTCTAAGATCATCACTGAAATTGGGGCAAAATGATGCTTTCTTGAGCAGTGAAGAATAATCATCTGCAGAGAGAAATACACTGTCAACTGTTTGGCAATCTTTGTCTGCAACATCCAATGTCTTTCCTGTATAAAAATCTTGACTGTCGATGGTATTTGCTTGGCTGCATGGGTGAACTTAAAGTTATTGTTGTTGTGTCACTTGTTTGGCTGTATGATGCTTCTTGGTTAAGTGCTTGATCTTCTACATTATGTTGACTTTCAGCAACCTTATCAGTGCCTATAATTATATCACCAGCCTAGCTATTAGATTGTTCTTGCTTCTCGTTCGATTTTTGGCTGGATTCAAGGTGATGAATGGATGTAGTACCAGTACATTCAGGATTAACATGCATCTGCAGCAGAGTATAGTAAAGTACAGTAAGTTAGCTATAATTATATTAATTTACCATAATTAACATGTTGGAGAGTGGAAGGGAGGTGTATAGGATTACTTATATAATTTTATATTATAATGAATGTAACTCTCAATTTAATTATAATACATCTGGAGGTACTGCCTATTCCTGGGTACCATGCCATTATGCCAATTTCATTTAGAAGCATTGTGTGAAGCCTAGGCACCAGAAAAAGTGCTAGCACAATTGCCGGGCACTCAATCTGAACACAGCCTTAATTCCTCAAACTTCATCTGGATGCCTAATCTTATATTGTGATCTATGATCGAGTAAATTACTTGTGATGCTACTAATTGTAACCTAGTAGTGTAATGTAGTAGGTAGAGAGTGAGGGGGGGGGGGAAGATGATGGGGAAAAAGGGAAGTGATGTGTGGGGGATGAGAGTTATAATTAAATTATAATTAAATTGAGAGTTACATTCATTATAATATAAAATTATTTAAGTAATCCTATACACCTCCCTTCCACCCTCTAACATGTTAATTATGGTAAATTAATATGTGATAGGCCGGTGATATAATTATAGCCACTGATAAGGTTGCTGAAAGTCAACATAATGTAGAAGATCAAGCACTTAACCAAGAAGCATCATACAGCCAAACAAGTGACACAACAACAATAACTTTAAGTTCACCCATGCAGCCAAGCAAATACCATTGACAGTCAAGATTTTTATACAGGAAAGACATTGGATGTTGCAGACAAAGATTGCCAAACAGTTGACAGTGTATTTCTCTCTGCAGATGATTATTCTTCACTGCTCAAGAAAGCATCATTTTGCCCCAATTTCAGTGATGATCTTAGAAAAATCAAGTCTCACATTGGTAATTTTTCCCAACCAGAAGTGGATCCCAATGCCTTTGAGGTGATATGCAGGGATGCTGGTGCTGAGAATCTCTACTATTGCATAAACAATGCCATATGTTCTGACAGAATGTCCACTGAGCGTATTAAAACATCTTAGCAAGCTCCGAACAATGGTTATTATTTATATCATGGTGTTTTCATTGTCCCAAAGATCCAACTCATTCCAAGTAGCATTATCCAGAACTGAAATGAAAACATGAGACGGAAAGGAGAATCCTGAGAAGAAACCGACAAAAATTTAAAAATTTAAATTTTTGAAAAATTTAAATTTAAAAATTTAAAAAACCCCACGGCAAAATTCAAGATATATTTATGTTTTATTGCATTCTTTCGGTTTCGAATATAAAAAGTAAATATTCTGGCTCACGGATGCCTTAGAATACGGCAATATTTTCTCGCTCCTTTTGTTTACAATTTTTATTTTCAAGCATTCTGATTGGCGGAGAGCAAAAATGTCAACAAACGCGCTGATTGGCTTAGAACGAAATCTGCCCTTGTTATGTCGGCCAGTTTCGTCAGTTTCTCATCTATTTGAGCCATACTGATTTTGGCGCCATTTCTTTCGGCAACGGATTCTAGTTGTATTGAATCTGCACTGGCATCGCCAGATGCTATTGTGGACTGGCGTTTACCCCTGCGTCTCAGCGCCATTGTCATTCTCCTCCATCAAACCAGACAAACTTGCACGCTCGCCGTCAGTCAACATTGCTGTGAACAAGTTGACATCCGAGTTGACAGACATGACAAAGTTGATCAAGATATATACGAAATAGAAGTTTGCCTCGCAAACTTGAACAAATTATGTACTATGATTAAATCTTGTAACCAAGAACGAAAATTTTTATTTACAGTTACGGATGACTGTAGTATTTGAAGGATTTTGTTTAGAAAAAACTAGTTACGCTTCGATAGCTTAGCGAACAGCGTAGAGATGACCAGTGTACGCATGCATAGTATCTCGTGGGATCTCTGCGGTAGATGGGGGGTAAATTTTGACATTATCATCATTTTTCTAAGTCGTCTTCGTGAACGATAAAAGTAAGTTGTAATGCCAAACAAACAAGACATTATTTGCAGCAGGCTTGCTGCTATAATAGTGAGCATAAGTACGGTTTTTAACAGATTCATTTTGCAATTCAACTTGTAAACACAGCTCTACATTTCGCGCCAAAACTTAATTTTGCAACAGATCATACCGGATTTTCTGATTACACTGGTCGGCGCGTAGCTAACCACGTATCGGATTACTTTTCATATCACCTCCAAAGCGAAGTGATTTTCGCTCCACGGCACATACCGGATTGCAGCGGTGTAATGTAATCAACAGCCCAATCTGGTACAGAAATCACGTCGCTCCGATGCAATCTGGTATAGTGTAATTGGGATGTCAATCAACTATGAATTTTATGCTAGTCCGACAAGCTGATAGTCTCAACAACTGCTAAATACAACACATTTATTGTCATTGACAATGTTTATTACCATTTACGATGCTCTTGGTCCATTACAGAAAATATTTTTGTTCATATCTATATGAAACGACGTTTTTTGAAACTATATTGAGACTTCTTATATATATAAAGGACAAGCAGAATCTGTCAACATCAAATATATAATAGTTCAGGGGCGGGTTGTATAAAACTCTTTAAATTTCAATTACCACTACATATAAACAATCAGTTATATTGTAGACAATTCAAAATATTTATCTATTGATACTAATAACTATCGTACATTATTAAAGTAATGCATCAGTCGCACAACTTCCAGAAAGATTTCATTTGTCAAGTAGCTTCAGGAAACATGTTCACAAGTAGTTGAATTGCATGAGGATGATGATAAGTTGTGAGAACAACCTTGCTGCAGACCTGTAAAACTTGTCAGTTGATGAGCTGGGAACAGACAATTTGTGTATATCCTGTTAATAATTTGTTGGAACATTGCTACACAGGGCCATATGCAGCAGGGGTTGCCAGGGGGCAGCAGCCCACTAGAGTATGTTCAACTTATGAATTTTGTACTGTGCCATGTTGCTCTTTTCCTCAGATTGCTCTTTTCCCTACCCATGGAACATCACTGCCTCCCTCCCCTAGCCTTAAAATCCTCCATAAAGGCCTGCTGCTACAAGTCTGCTGTATGTTACAGGTCATGCAATTTAAATTTGCTTGTGATACCAAGCATTGGGCATTACCTTGTGTTTGATAAATTAACCCTAATTAGTTTACCATATATAATAGGAGTTTCAACATCCTTTGCCACAATTTCAGGTAATAATATGGATAGTATGTACTAGTTAAGGGAAAGTATGTAAAACAGCTATTTCTCCAGAAAACCAAAAATCAATTACTAGTGATTTTTATTGAGATTGGTTATTGGCTGATTATGTTTCAATTGACCTGTTTCAGCTCTGATACCACTTTTTTTTGCTCATTTACTAGTGTCATTTTCTTTATTTAACCAGTAAAGGCAATACCATAACCAACACAGTTTTGTTTTGTTAGACAGGTTCTCTTACACAAACTCTGTTTTAATAATGCCATCAATAAAAAAAGTGAATGTACACAAATGGATTTGATTGTGGAATGTAGCAGTATGCATGCCAAGTATAGTATACTGTTAGCCCATAATCATATTGAAGGGAATCACAGACTTCGATAGTCAATGGTCTAATGTATTAGGATACATGAAGGATTGTCATACTTTTCTATTATATACAAATTTTGGATTTTGCAGATTGTATAATATTAACTTTGATTTTGTACTGATACATATGAACCTTTATCTATTCATCTGTTCATCCGCTTCTATCTATAGACGTAAGTTGTATAATAATATAGTTAGTGCAGTTGTATTAATGTACGTATATTCAAAATGTTCAATATTTGTGTTTTAGTTTCACCGTACTTTATGCGATAAATAAACATAACTCATAAAAAGAGAGCGTATATGGTATGGTTGACACAAGCGAACTCCACTTTGTAGAACGTCCCTACGAAGTAGGAACACAACAATGACAACAATCCTTGCTGATGATCAATCAGTGATGCCTTATCTTGGCACTGCTAGTATATATTCAGGTCCTATTATATATAAGACCATTACCCACTCAGTAATCCCTAACTGAATTTGCACCTGCCTTTACACCCATAACAGTGTTTAATGGGGAAATTACGATAACGATTGTTTCTGGCCATACAGCAGAAACATTGCTTCTCTTCGCTTCAACAAAGTCCAATAAAGGTGGCAAAAGTTCAATGTTTTATCAGAGATTTTCCAAACCCCGTCGGCAGGACGGCAATTACATCTCTTCCATTCATAATATGAGGAATAGCGTCATCAATACATGCATTTGCATTCTTTGCGCTCACCATGTTTTCTTATATTTTACCCTGATTCTATTCTATGCGACCAAGCCTTTTTGTCAGAATTCCAACAAAATTCAACAGCGTATCCCAGGGCCTATGTGGAGAGCAATGAAGCTAGAAGACAAAAGGGTCAATGGGCCAGAATTTCTACGTGGTGAAGAAGATACAAGGCCGAAAATTCCTGATGAGGTAAAGACACTTAATGACAAACATTTAGAATAGCATAGGAACGTTCAAGTTCATCAAGTTTTGGCAGAGAAATAAAGTCTTACAACTGACGACTTTCTGGAATACTAATCTGATTGGTATGCCTTACAGAAAGGTGTTGCTTGGTTATTACGTTTTGTATCATTTTTGGAACAAGGGAGGCGAAAGGTTAAGGTATTGACTGGACAGTTAACAGTGACAGAAATTTGTACTGCGACTGTGAGAATCGTAAGATATTTGCAACGCCAACAGACATTAAATCCGATTGTGATCGAGGGGATATTATGTGTAGGAGGACGGATTGAAAGGTCTACGATATCGTTCAGTGCAAAACATCCTATGATTCTGCCCCAACATCACCATGTAACTGAATTAATTATTCAACATTATCATGTTCAAGAAGGTCATATGGGACCTACCCAAGTTCTGGCAACAATACGTCAGATGTTTTGGATTGTTCATGGGCCTACAGAAGTGAGGCGAGTAATAAAGAAATGCGAAACCTGGTACACAAATAATGGCTCCTCTCCCAAGTGGATGTGTTACACCGATGAATCCACCATTTACCTTCCTGGGTATGCATTATTTTGGTCCGATAATGGTTCGCCAAGGTTGAAGTCAGGTTAAGCAATATATGTTTGCTTACTCACATGCCTATCCATAAGAGCGGTCCATATCGAAATCACACACTCTTTAACCGCTGAGTCACTCCTATGTGCGTTTAGCAGGTTCATTAGTCTAAGGGGTCCACCAATTGAAGTGTACAGTGACGATGGTATGAATTTCACAGCAACTCATTCAGTGCTGAATGAAGCTGTTCACATTCAGTGAACAGTTGGTTATTGCAACAAAGGAAAAAGTGCAATTGCTTTTCTACAGAAAGTTAATATGTTTGAATAAACCAGTCCTACATGTCCTATTGGTAACATCACATTTTGCAAACATTTTGCAAAGATTCGTTTTTAGTCATTATTTTTATTTTATATGTAGTTGCAGGTATTCAGATCCTGTGGAGATGGCTATGCCCTCATTGTAGGGTTGTTGGAGGGCACCTTTTGAAAATGAGATGGTGGCAATGTGGCAATGATGGAGATTGATGATTGGTAACATTTGGTGTGATTCTGTTATAGAAATTGTGTAGTGAAGAATATTGTGGATAATTGTGGACTTGAAAATTATATGTATGAAATGCTACAAATATGTGTTTGTTGTTTGGCAAAACCCGGGTGCAATATGGAAATGTGTGAGATGCCTTGGCCAGAATGAATGCCGGTTATTGCCATTCTGGTCAAGTCCCTTTCATCTGTTTTTCGTTGAAAACTGTAGTTATGTTTCATCAGGCTCCAAGCATAACTAGGGAAAGCACGTTTCTAACCCGCTAGCAGGTCTTGGAACGACGTGCTCGCATATGTGATTTGTGATGATGAGCGGAAATTGTGTGACGTGAATTCGTGGTGAGATCGGTGATGATGATGAAGTCCAAATATGTATGAGCATGCTGTTTATCCGTATGTAGTGGCTGTTTTTTTGCTATTGGGGGCTAATCCCTGAATCGATTGGTTTCTGTGCTCTGAATTGATTAGTTCCATAAAACATCCCCAATGTGTGGTGATTTTGTAAGGAAGGGTGGTATCCCACGTGTATTCCCGTTATTAAAATATTTATAAACCGCAGCATGGGAGCGTGCCGAGGAAAATGTTGTTTATATTTTGGGCCCATCTCTGTGAATATGATATCATATGAATATGATATGTTATGTTAGGAATTAAAGATGGAAGAGATTTAAATGGTCTTACTTACCCTTCAATTTGAAGAAAAGCAAGCGTCCAAGATGCTTACAGAAGTTTGCTTTAGTGTTAACGCGCAAGAAATGTAAAATGAGTGGGCTGTGTGACATCGTGGTTGGAATTGTGAAATTGAGGCAGAATTTGTTTTGGGGGGGAGGTGCTATTTTTTTTTAAAAATTGGGAATTTAGGCCTCGGAAACCGATCTTACGGTTGGGATTGTATGTGGTTGTGGGGTTGGGTTTTGTTTAAGGTTGGGGTTAGGGTTCCCCTTCCGGTCGAGGTTAGGGTCTCGTTTGAAAAATGGATTGTGTGGTTTGTGTTTCCACGTTGTGGAAAGCGCGGGAAAGGGATGGTGGAAGCACTGGCAAGGATAAGGGGAGAGTTTGGTGGATCCGGGGGATGAAGAGGGGTAGTGGTGGATTGTTTGAACTGTTGCAAATGGCGGCCAGTTGAATGATGTGTTGTGTATTCGAAATATATAAATAATATGATTACGAATTCCCTTTGGAGAACGTTCGGAGCGATATTTCAACTCATGTGTGTGTTTGTTTTAAGGCGGATTGTGGAATTATATCAAGGTTGTGATTGAAAAGAGTGAACGTGTGTTGTATTTACAACAATGCTCGGTGAGCGAATCATATGAATTATTTACATGATATTGCGATGTGATGGTGGTTGAATATCATAACTATTTGTATAACTGTATGTTTATGGCAGGCATTGTATGGTTTGATTGTCTGCCATCCATACCATTAATGAATGTATTTTTTGTACATATTTTTTGTACATATTGTTTGTTTATGTGATCCTATTTTGTTTATGTGATAAATGTTTATTCGTGGCAAGGTTGTGTTTTCTGAGGGGTCCAGATTTGTCAACGTGGCTGCAGATGGTTTGTAGTTTGGTGAATGACTCCAATGTGGTCTCCATGGATGTGCTCTTTCGATTTGTTGGTTGTTGCTTGATGGAGCTGGTTCTGTGAGTTGTCTGGGTGGTGGAGATTTTGATCTTTGGTCAAAGGTGATTTGGGATGGCCTATTGGTTTAATTGATGGGGTGAGGTAATGTGTGTAAAGGAATTTTGTCTTGATCCAACGAGTTGTTATTTGTTATTCAACCAACGTTATGAAAATAGAATATGCTATAAACTTACCAGTTTTCTTTAAAATGTTTTCAGCAACGATGGCCAGTTCACATGCTCCGAACTGCAATGCGACAGTCCTTGTCTGAATTGATGGGATGTTTCACAACAAAATACATTCAACTTTAGCAACACTTTCTAGCCTCCCAACACGTGTTGCACTTGTCAGCCGTTGGAGCGCGTTTTGGAAATTGGACATCGCCGACACACGTACAAGACGAACACAGATAATCTTCGGTTAGGTCTTGTAAAATTTTAAATCTCTCGAAGACAGGTTCTCACAACGAGAATGGTACCACATTCAGCATCCTTCGCAAAAGTTTTTTTTTTTTCGGATGAAAAACGTTATGAAAATAGAATATGCTATAAACTTACCAGTTTTTATATATATATATATATATATATATATATATATATATATATATATATATATATATATATATATATATATATATATATATTGAACATGATTTGCTCCAAAGTAAATTTGGAGTTGCAACACAGGTAATAATATAGGCAAAAATGTTCTCCGTGTTTACCATACTCGTAATGAGTGAGCTGGTGAGGGAAAGGGACAAATTTACATTCTTAGGTTTGAATATGCCCGTCAAGGGTAAGTATGGAGAACATTTTTGCCTATATATATATATATATATGTGTGTGTATATATATACCATTGTGCTCTATTATCATATATTACCTTAATGACCACGGTGGCCGGACATTTTGCCGAAAGACACTTTGCCGAAAGACACTTTGCCGAAAGACACTTTGCCGAAAGACATTTGGCCGAAGTACACTTTGCCGAACGGATATTTTGCCGACGGACATTTCGTCGAACGGACTCTTTACAGAAAAGACATTTTGCCGAACAGACCATTCGCCGAAAATTGCGATACTTTTCATTGTGAACACCCACGTTGTTGGTCAAATGCTTGGGTCATTAACGGTCATTAGCGGTGCATAACCATAACGAAAATTTGTTTGTGTAGCGGATGACTCATCTCTTTGGAATGTGTTTTTAACCTATATAAAGGCAACAATTGAAGCACATTTTATTCTAGTATCATGGAATACATTCAAACTTCGCGGGGAAATCGCAAACTGCTTTTCGAAGGTTATGTCTATGTTTTGGATAAGAAAAAAGAAGAATCAGCTTACTGGAGGTGCGAGAAACATAAAGAATGCTCTTGCAGACTATCAACTCTAGCGGACACATTATGGCATCAACCATCAAAACATTCTCATCTACCTGATCCAGCTCGCGTTGCTGTTCAACGAGCGGTGTCAGCTATGAAATATCGTGCTGAGAACTCTGAAGACTCCACCAGAAATATTATTCAGAACTGCACCCAAGATTTTCCGCTTGCCGCTGCTGGAAGTCTTCCTCAAAAAGAAACGCTGGCAAGAATGATCAGAAGAAAACGAAAAGCCCCAGACGGTGATGATATCCCTGATGACATGTGCCAAACTACATGTGGGGAACAGTTCCTGGTGTTTCATGATGAAAACCTAGATCTCTACGTTTTCGCAACCAGTAAGAACTTGGACGTCCTTGCACGCCAAAGACATTGGTTCTGCGACGGAACTTTTGATAGCGCGCCGATATGGGTTACCAGCTATACACAGTACATGTTATCGCCGATGGTTCCAGAACTGTGCCCGTTGTGTACTGCATTGCCAGAAGAAAAGATCGAGATACATACGACCGCATCTTCCAATTCCTTAAGGATCGTCGACACAATCTCTCTCCACTGACAGTGATGATTGACTTCGAGATGGCCGCCATACAGTCGTTAGAACACCATTTCCCTGAAGCTGAAATCCAAGGATGCTTGTTTCACTTTGGTCAGTGCTTGTGGAGAAACGTACAGAGATTGGGACTGCAGAATTGGTACAAAGAAGATGTGAACAATGCAATGACTATCAAGTCGTTTCAGGCCCTTGCATTTGTTCCACCACATTGTGTAACAGAAGCGTTTCAAGACGTCGTCCTATATTTGCCATCTCTCTGCGGAATGTACATGGTCGTGTTGAGCAAGATCTTCCACGAACAAATAATTCAATTGAAGATGGCATCACTCATTTGATCTTCAAGTTTCCATCACCCACCCTATGATCCGTCGTTTTTCTGCCAAGCTAGTCAAGGAACAAGCCAGCAACGAACTTCTTTTGGAACAAGTGCTTGCCTGCATTCCTCAACCTCCAGCAGAAAAGAAGTACCAGTTAATTAACTTAAGGTTTAAGGATATTGTTAGTAAGATTGACGCTTACGAGAACACGATAATATACTTACGGGCTATTGCTCATAATTTGTAGAAAAAATGTTTCAGGCTTTCAAATATATATGTATATGCTCAACATTAATAAATAATTGTGTAAACAAAATATGGTGTCAACAATATAAAAACTCACAAAGTATCGCAATTTTCGGCAAATGGTCTGTTCGGCAAAATGTCTTTTCTGTAAAGAGTCTGTTCGACGAAATGTCCGTCGGCAAAATATCCGTTCGGCAAAATATCCGTTCGGCAAAGTGTCTTTCGGCAAAGTGTCTTTTGGCAAAATGTCCGGGTACCAATGACCACACATCGGCAAATAGCTTTGTTACTCATAATGACTCATTTTGAAAGAATGCATTTGTTTTTAAGTTAATGGCTTAATGAGCATTTTAAATCAATTTCTGACACAAGAGATTGCCTATCACATGTGATGACAATTTGTGTTTAGGTATAGACAAATGCCAAGCCTGTATTCACTTGATATTGGTTGTTCATTGATTGCATCATGCCGGATATTGTCCTTAATATTTTTCAAGATATATTCAAAGGTAGCTCTTGATACCTGAAAGGTTTTTTTGAACCGATGATCAGTATAGGTCTGCCAAATATGACCCCACCAGCCATTGTTCTTGGGAATTATCAACATGAACGAATTATGGTTCCCTTTGTCTTTAGAGAATGCTAACAATATGAGGACCGTTGAAAGCAACATTCTCTGATTTTGCAAAGCATAATTCAATAGAGTGTGCATCACGTTTCTTCGTCTCCTATTGTTTTCAATTAATTTTCGCAAACATAAATAACCTTGAAGCATTTTCACGCTTACCATCCACCAAATTAACTCTGCAATATTAAGTATTTCTTAGGCCACTGACCAGTTAGAATTGAAATTTCACAAATGATTTAAATGCTACGATGTTAAATACGCTGTCTGAATTAAGATGTTCTTATGCCGAACCAATTAGTATTAGATACGACTCATAAAAAGTACGCTGTCTGAACCGGTGTCACAGTCTCAGTATTCCCATAAACTATCTGCGAATGTGCTATAACAGCTGATTGCTGAGCATGTAGCTAGCTGGTCTGAACGCTCCCCCAAGTCCTTTTTTGTTTGCTTATTTACAAAGAAAGTATTCTCATGAAGGCACGTTTTTGTTAGATATGATAAAGCTATTAAATATTGTTGTGTTTAATATTTCGTCGGAAATATTATCACGAGTCAATTGTGTAGAATATAATTAGATGCATTGTGGTAATATATTATAATTACAAGCTTATATAGTGCTTATAACACAGAGATCTAAAGATCTTAGTGCCTTACAATCGTCTATCTAAAGACTATAGTAAAATATGACAAACATAACTAAAATCACTTATATACATCTATAAATCAAAGGCTATTTAAAACATGTGGGTCTTAAGCTTACACTTGAATTTGGAAAAATCTGTACATGCCCTAACAGGCAGGTAGTTTATTCCATAGTTTAGACTGGGAGAGTATTGAGACTGGTCTCAATCCTTGCCAGTCTGGAATATCTCCTGGTATTTTTTACAATCGAATAACTTAGACTGGGGGGAGTATTGAGACTGGTCTCATTACTGAATACTTGCACAAGAAACACACAGTAAGATTTCATTGGTTTTGTGTGAATTTACTTTACTATACGGTATGTTATTTTTACACTTTTATTTTCAATACTATTTACAAACTATTTACAAACTATTTACAGGTCATGCAATTAAATAATGTTTTGTCAGTTACGGTTCTTCATCACAAAGTCGATGAAACCATTCTAAACATGAAGAACACTCAATCATAAAATCACCAACTTTGAATGGCATTCGACAATGGCAGTAAGGTTTCACTTTCTTTTCACTAGCACTCACTACATGGTTTGATGGTTTTGCTGGAAATAAAGCCATTTCGTCACAGTGAAAGCAAATTGCCAAATATCCTCCTATAAATATAAACACTCTGGTCATAAATTAGTTCACTTGGGTAATCTCCATTCAGAAGACTAGCTGCAACTGCCAGTGCAAAAAGGCCACAATCTCAACCACCTTTTTGGTTTTGCATTGATGCCCACTCTATTACCATATCAGATAGCTTGGTGTTCAGCAATGCTGCCAAAAAAGCATGAGTTTCTGCTTCAATTTATTCGATAGTTTGACTGAAGAGAGTCGTATACTTTGACCCTGTTCTCCTGACACCCAATGCTTGTGACAGTTATCCTGTGATTACCGACATTCAGAACTTAAAATCTTTAGCTCCTCTCTGTACTTTTGGGGATTGGTTTTCAAATGCCAACACAGAGTGCAAACCTTTAAATTCTGGAAATTGCTTGGTCAATAACCATTGTTGTTGTTCATCTTCTTTTTACTCTGGGGAGTTGGTGGGGGGCTGTTGTGAGTTGGTGGGGGGCTGTTGTGAGTTGGTGGGGGGCTGTTGTGAGTTGGTGGGGGGCTGTTGTGAGTTGGTGGGGAGGCTGTTGTGAGTTGGTGGCAGACTTTGGTGAGTTGGTGGTGGACTGTTTTTGGTTCAGGATCATCAGATGCTGAAGTAGAGTCTGTCTTTGGTCTCTGGATGTTGTGAAGCTCACTTGTCCTGTAGGTCATCAGTTGATCAAATGGGACTTTATTCTTGAGAGGAGCTGCATCATTCTTCAATGACACAAGAGTAACTCTTTGTGTGTTATCAATTTCCTTGACACTGAGACAGATAAAAAGATAAAGTTATCCAGGTCCAGGACCAAAAAACTGTTGTACACACACACACAACATAATAGTTAATTATCTAAACTATCAACATGGTACATCATATTTTGCTCGCCAAATGCTTGAAACATTATACAGGCAGGTTGAAACATTAAAAAATGACATAAAATTTTAATGATACACAAAGATGATTTTAAATCTTGTTAATAGAAATTAACCAATTTAATATAACAATTTTTTATCACATGGCATGTTACCTGTATGGCCCTATCCAACTTGGCTCCATCTTTCCTCCTTTCCTTAACATGTTCTTCATTCGTCGTTTATAGACCAAGTCACCAACTTTAATGTCAAATGTCTTGACACCCTTTGCCTTGAGCAGCTTCAACATTCTTAAAAACCTATAAAAAATCCAAATAATTTTACATTTCTTGAGGAATCTTCAAGATTTCTATGTATATATATGACAACTAAAGAGAAACTGTTCACTTCTCCTCAGATTGAACATATATGTTGGCTAGTAGTTTCAGCTTTTGCTATCCTTTCCCCAATTTGCTGGTTGAATAACTCTTTTGGTTGTTCAGGAGGAGAGGAACTGTCCTCAACAACACTAATCGATATAAGTTGAATATAAAATTATAAATAATATATATACAATGCTACTAGGAATGCAAAGTATACAACATTAAATACCATTTGAAGTAAATTAGGAGTTTGACCAAACATCAAATAAAAGGGAGCATCTTTTGTTGTTGCTTGCTTTTGGGTGCTAATAGAATAGGCAACTTCATCTAGAAAGTCACACCAATTGTTTTGATGCTGTTGACCAACTTTGACAAACGTTGCTTTAACATTTGGTTTGTCCTTTCATCCAAACCATTTGTCTGCAGATGATAGGCACTGGTAACTGATCGTTTGATTTTAAATTGTTTGCACACTTGGTAATTCACTTTAGCCACAAATTCTCTCCGATCGAAAGCAGCTGTGCAGGTGCTCCCCATCTAAATTTAATACAACAGCAAATTTATAAATTTACCTACTCACCTACCCATCTGGCAATATCTTCACCAATAAAAACAAAGTTGGTCCAATTAAAATAAAGTTGAATGATTCCTATTTAAATTACCTGCATGTAAATTTCTTGATGCATTTTGCAACTAGGGTCGCCAGATTACTGAATAAAAAATTAGCCAAATATTATTACCATAATCGCTGTTTTCTTTGTTTCAAACAAAGAAATCAAAGGGACGACGACAACAGTGTTTGGCTTCTTTTTTCAGTAATCTGGCAACCCTGTTTGCAACATCATCTGCAGCTTTCTCTTTAAAAATTCAATTTAAAACTTATGACTGCTTATACATACCAATTAAATCTATCCCAACCAACTTCAATGGTTCATTCACTTTTATTGGAATGAGTTCTGGAGCTTGTGTTTTTATCTTGCAACAAATTTGACACTGATGACATGCAATCTATCAAAAGTAAAATCATGTTATTTCACACAGTAAAATTATTCAAATGCTTAGTTGTTTTATGGTGGTAACCCCAAGCTTAGAACTCACTGAGTTACTACAATACATAATTGCAATTACAATATATTCAAATAAACGCACATACTCTCAAACATCTTCCTTCATTTCACTCCAGCAATAATAATTTGATATTTTATTAAGTGTTGCATTCACACCACTATGCCCTGCCATAGAATCAATACGGTGGTGGTGCAAAATATCTGCGATTTCCTTTAAGGTTAGGATAACCTTCCTAACCCCTTCTT